ACTACCTTCACCACGGGAGAGAGGGGAAAAACATGTCCATTTTATAATAAACCTCAGTGGCAGAGAGATGAAAATAGGACAAGGGGAGTCCCTTGGTGATGGGGGAGGTACTGTGCGGGCGGGAGAGCAAGCCTTTGGTGCTGTCTGGCCTGGAAGGCATGCTGGAGAAGGGGGGGGGTTGGACCCATCTCTGTGAGAAAAGAGGGGGAGCGAGTGCCCCATAGGCCCCTCCACACGGGTACTTCCCAGCCAGCCCAGGGCAAAAAGTTAATATTAAATATTCATGAAAAAAACTTCCATGCTTTCACCATAATCACAGGGACACTCCACATAAAATGTTAAAATGGATTAAATGCATTACACCTTGTGGCTGTGGGTTGTGGCTCAGGGGTAGAATGCTTGCCTAGCATGTGTGAGGCCCTGAGTTCAATCCTCAAAACCACATAGAAATAAATAAAATAAAGGTGTTGTGTCCAACTACTACTAAAAAATAAATATTTTTTAAAAGAGGTGCTTCACCTTATCCAGGAAATGTTTCCATTGCAGGAAAACATGTCATACATTGGGGATCTCATGAAGGACTAATGAATGCTAAATCTAGAGATATTGGAGTAGACATTCTCACATAGCATCAAAATAACTCATGTTCACAGAGAGGGCATAGGCTTCGGCATCATCCATTTATACCCTTTATACTGGTATAAAGAAGAATTTTTACCCCCAACCCTAAGAATGAATTTAGGGCCAATCCAGGACTCCATATGGAAAATAGGTTTGATTCAGGAGACTTTTGAGTCTGGAATGATGGGTCAAGTTTTGGGAATATAAAATAGGTTCTTTACCTTAATGCTTCCTTTTGTAAAGGGTTCTACTAAACAGCATATGTATTAAATCCCTATGTTTTATTATCTGGGCCCCTCTCTATTCTCTCTCCTCCTCCTAGTACTGGGGATTAAACTCAGGGCTTAGTGTACTTTAGGGAAGTGTATGGGAGGTGGTCTAGCTGAATGATTTGCATTCTCCTTCTGGTGAGCAGAAGTGTCATAGTGACCTGGTCCTGGAGGTAGAGGACAGATCTTCAGGCATAGGTGTGCCATCCTGCAGCCCCTTAGGTCAAATTACACTCATCTGTCCTCTGTAACCCTACCCCTCCTGACATTTTTGGATGGAACTTTCTAAGAATGAGGGTCCCCCAAATAAAAGCTAAGTTCCGAACATGCTCGCTCTCTCTCGCCAGCCTATTGTGACTTTTTCTCACTCTCCCAATTGGAAGATTGAGGCCGAGAGTGGAGGAGCTGTTCCAAAGCTTGATTTAAAGGTAAAGTATGTGTCTATGTTTTATTTGGTATTCCCAGAAATTCACACTAGCGAACTTAAATTCAGCTGCCTACATAGGTTGGGGGCAGCAGAAGTGCTCTGCCACTGAGTGATATCCCTAGACCCATGGTCTGTTTTTTTGGAAAATATTTATATTTTAGTTATAGTTGGACAAAATACCTTTATTTTATTTATTTACTTTTATGTGATGCTGAGGATCAAACCCAGGGTCTCGCACATGATAGGCAAGCATTCTACCACTGAGCCACAACCCCAGCCCAACCCATGGCCCTTTTAAATTTACAATTGCTCCAGTGATTGCAGCTTCAGAAAATCCATAGCCTGTTTGGGCATATTTTGAGAAAGCCTGCCCTATGACTTTTTAAAAATATATTTATTTTTTAGTTCTAGATGGACACAATGTCTTTATTTTACTTTATGTGATGCTGTCATTTGTTGTTGTTGTTGTTGTTGTTGGCAATGTAGGGTAGGGGCAGCAAACCAAGGGCCTTTCAGTTTGCTGGGCCTTACACAAGCTAGGTGTGCACTCTACCTCTGAGCCCAAACCCCAGCCCATGCCCTATGACTTTGTGATCTGCAGAAAGCATTTCAGTTTATGGCTTTCCTCCCTTCCGTACCAATTGTCTTCATTTCCTTAAGTTTTTAAAAAATTTTTAAATGTTTTTTTTTATATCTTTATTTTTTATTTTTATGTGGTACTGAGGATCAAACCCAGTGTGTCACACATGCTAGTCAAGATCTCTACCACTGAGCTACAACCTGATTCCTCCTTAACTTTTGTTTTTTTAGTTGTAGATGGACACAATAAATTTCTTTTATTTATTTTTTAATGTGATACTGAAAATCAAATCCAGTGCCTCATACATGCCAGGCAAATGTTCTACTACTGAGCCACAACCCAGTCCCCCTCCTGAACTTTTTGATGGTGAAAAAACACATGTCAAAAAGGCTGGGGGTGCAACTAAGTGGTAGAGCATTGGCCCAGCAAACTGAAAGGCCCTTGGTTTGCTGCCCCTATCCTTACCCTACATTGCCAAGAACAACAACAACAACAACAAATGACAACAAAATCACTCACCATATATTACCACTATCACTAACATCCACATCTTTGATTATTTTCCTGTCTTCACAACACTGAAACATCTCAACCAGTGGTGAAAGTAGTGTCTCTCCATTCATTGCTTCTAGCACGGAGTGTAAGATAACAAAAGATCAGGCATGGTGGCCCATTTCTTCTATCATCCTAGAGACTCTGATGGCTGAGAAAGATGGGAAGATCTCCAAGTTCAAGGCCATCTTCAGTAATTGAGTAAGGCTCCACATAACTCAGTGAGAACTTGTTTCAAAGTAAATAATAAATATATAAATAAATAATAAAAAAGAGCTGGGGAAGTGACTCTGTGGCAAAGTGTCCCTTTGTCAAGTCCTAGTAACAACAACAACAAACCACAAACAAGTTCTGACCTTCCTTCTTCTCCCCCCTCTCCCAAAACTGCTCCATTCCTTCTTCCTCAGCCAGAACTAGAGGTCCATAGGAAAAAAAAAAAAAAGTGATGGCCAGAGGATGGGGAACAGCTCAACCATGATAGAACTTGTACTTACTGCTTAGCATGCTAGAGGCCCTGGGTTGGATTCCTTGAGACCTACAACAACAACAACAGCAAACAAGCAAACAAAAAACAGACAACGGAAAGATCAATACCAAAATCAAACACACAAAAAAAAACAAAACAAAACAAAAAAACACCATGAACCAGTTGATTCATTTCATCCTTCCCCTTTATTAGGCTTTTTATGACCTCAAATTTTGAATTCAGATTTTCTAATTAGCCTCTGGGACTGGAGGTGAGTTCCACCATGCCCATAGACAATTTCCTTTTGGGTATTCCCTTTCCATTGTCTTCAACTGATCCAACTGGAAGATAGGGTACTATTGTATCCCAGGAGTGCTATTTGTAATCTAGCCTTAGCAAGAAGAAAGCAGTGCACCTTCCTGGCCATAGTGATTGGCTTAGGCATCAATAAAGATTTATTCTGATCAGTTCCTCAGCTCACTAATTGATTGGATTATTTATTTGTTTATTTTTGGTGTTATGTTTTTTGAGTTCTTTATATATCTTAGAGATTAATGCTTTATTGGAGCTGCTTGTGGTGAAGATTAACAGACACTTCACAGAAGAAGAAATACAGTTGATCAACAAATATATGAAAAAGTGTTCAATATCTCTAGCAATCAGAGAAATGCAAATTAAAACTATTCTAAATCATACTGTCAGAATGGCAATCATCAAGAATACAGGCAACAATAAATGTTGGTGAGGATGGGGTGAGCAAAGTACACTCATGCATTACTGGTGAAATTGCAAATTGGTGAAACCACTATAAAAAGCAGTGTGGAGATTCCTCAGAAAACTGGAAATGGAACCACCATTTGACCCACTCCAAAATATTTAAAATCAGCATACAATAGTGACACAGCCATATCAATATTTATAGCAGGTCAAGTCACAATAGCTAGACTATGGAACCAATCTAGATGCCCCTCAATAGTAGAATTGAAAAAGAAAATGTGGTGTATATACTCAGTGGATTACTACTCAGCTTCAAGGAAAAGTGAAATTATGGCTTTGCCAGTAAATGGTAGGAGTTGTAGAATATCATGCTAAGCTAAATAAAATCAATGTCACAAAGCCAAAGGCTGAATGTTTTCTGTAATATGTGAATGTTAATTCACAACAAGGCAGGGGGCAAGAGGGAAGAGTATTGTTACCTTAAATTAGGTAGTGGGAAGTGGTGGGAGGAGAGTGGATGGGACGTGGGAATAGGAAAGATAGTAGAATGAATCAGACATTATTACTCTATGTATATATGTGACTACATGACCAATATTATTCTACAACATGTGCACTCAGAAAAATACAATAATATCCCATCTATGAATGATATATCAAAGTGCATAAATGCATTCTACTGTCATGTATAACTAAATAAAACAAATTAAGGGCTGGGGTAGTGGCTCAATTGTAGAGCACCTGGCTAGCACATGAGAAGCCCTGGGTTTAATTCTCAGAACCACATAAAAATAAATAAATGAAATAAAGGTTTTGTTCCAACTACAACTAAAAAATATAAATAAATATTTAAAATAATATTTTAAGAAGAAAAAACAAATTAAAAATAATTTTAAAAATTTATTCTGCAACAAATGGGATACATGTAGAAGATATGAACTAAGAAATCGCAAAATCTTTGTGGGCAAAAAAGGAAAGAAGTTGGTCAAATAATTCACTATAACTTTTATGCAGTGACATTGTAGGTAATTTTCTTCCTGATTTAAAACAAATCATTATTTTCCCCCAAATACTGTAAGTGTTCAAAGATGCTTAATAAAATTTTTAAATGATTAAAAAAAAACTCTGGGGTTGAGGATATAGCTAAGTTGGTAGAGTGCTTTCCTAGCATGTACAATGCTCTGGGTTCAATTCCCAGCACCAAAATAAATTTTAAAAAATAGATAGATAGGTAGATAGACAGATAGATAGATAAATAAAATAAAAATTAAAAAACCTCATTACTCTGCTTCACAGCAAGGCCTGTCAGACCAGCTCCTTCTCTGTCTACAACTTTGCCTCTTTCAGGTCTCCAATGTTGTTGTTATCATCATCATCATCATCATCATCATCATCATCATCATCATCATCATTTATGTTTTATTTGTAGTTGGACACAATACTTTCATTTGTTTATTTTTATGTAGTGCTGAGGATTGAACCCAAGGCCCCACACATGCTAGGTGAGTGCTGTACCACTGAACCACAACCCCAGCCCCTCTAATGTTATTTTTGACAATCATATTTTTTTCATAAATTTTAGCACTCAATTTCATTCTCAAAATGACCCAAAATAATGATGTAATTGCTAAAGAAAGCATTGCGGGTTCTTTTTGTTTGTTTGTTTTTAAGGTAAGAAACTAAAACACATTTTGTGGCAGTACTGGAGATTGAACACAAATTATCATGCATGATAGACAAGTGCTCCACATTTAATATAAGTAATTTTAATAAGTAAAATATTTAATGAGTAATTGCATAAATGATTTTAGTTAGGATGCTCAAACACAACATTTAGTTAGGATGCTCAAACACAGTATTTTGTTATCACACTAAGCAGAGCTTTCTGAATAAATCATGAGCAACATCACTAATAAATAAAAACTACTCTGAGTCCTAGTCTCTCTGGAAGATCATGAGAGAAGATGCCAATTAAAGGGAGGAGGAATATTTCTTCTCAAATGCAAGGGTCAAGTCACCTTTATTTGCCTGAAATAAAAATGTTGCTTTTTTGGTTTCTTCTTTAAAACACTGAGTTAAGATATAAAAATATAACAAAGTGAATTGTCTAATGTTAAATTTTGTTGTATGATCTGGTGAAAGCACAGAACCTCATTAACTGACATATTTTGGAATTTTTTTTACTTACATAATAGAAACAATTATCAAAAATTTGAGAATATACCCAAAGCCCTGGTTCATGTATTTAACTTGTGGTTTAAAAAAGACAGAATAACAAGCTGGGTGTGGTGGTGTTCCCCTGAAGCAGCTCAGGAGGCTGAGACAGGAGGAAAACTAGTTCAAAGCCAGCCTCAGCAGACAGGAGGCACTAAGCAATTCAGTGAGATCATGTCTCTAAATAAACCACTAAATAGGGCTGGGAATGTGTCTCAGTGGTTGAGTGCCCTGAGTTCAAGTCCCAGTATCCCCCCAAAATAAAATGGAAGATTTAAATGATTTTAAATTATATTTAAAAACAAAAAGTAAGTATGTGCAAAGAAATATAAAGCAAAAAACTGCATTTTAAAAAACTACATAAGTATACAATACTGTCCTGAGTATACAATACTGGCCTGTGTTATAGAAAAGAAAAAGATTGCAGAGACAAGACTTGGCAGGGCAAGTTGAAAAATAGCCTTGCAGATTTATTTATTGATAAATTAATTTGGAATATAAATCAAACTGTGATATATGTGCTACACAAAGTGCTGTAAAATTTGCATAATAAATTAAAATATTTTAAGGTAGTCTGTGAAATAAAAGCAAAACTTATATCTAATGAAATAAACACTAAATTTTAAAAATCCGTTGAAAAAATACTGGCACAGTTTTCAGTAAACTCGGAGTTTTCTGCAAGCTCCCCAAACACTTTCAAAAGAATGCGTTCCTTCCATGGTGGAGAAGTGCCTCTGCTCCCAGCTACTTCACCAGGGAACAAAGTATAGAGTGCACATTGAGAAATAATTGACTGGGTGAAATTTCAAACAGCTAACAAAAACCATGTTTGATTCAGTTCCAACTGCCGGAGAAAATGAAGTGAAACCTAAAAATTGAAACTGTTCCTGCAAGTGAATGCTTCAACCTAGGAGAATGAAATTTGGGAGGCAAAGTGGGACTGGTGTAAGGATCATTCTTGGCAAGTATCACCAAAATCTGTTGAAAAAATATTTGCACAGTTTTCAGTAAACTCGGAGTTTTCTGCAAGTTTCCCAAACACTTTCAAAAGAAGGTGTTCCTTCCTTGGCTGAGATGTATATCCACTTAGAGTGACTACAACTCAGAACAAAGCACAGAGTGTGCACTGAGAAATAAGTGACTGGGTGAAGTTTCAAGCAGTTAGCACAACTGTGTTTGATTTCTAGTTCCAACAGCATTCATCCCTAAGGGGGAAAATTAAGTCAAACCTAAAAGCTAAAAGTGTTCCTGCAAGTTGATTCTTTAACATAGGACAGCTTCCCAAACACTTTCAAAATAAGTTCTTTCCTTGGCTGATAATTGTCTGATAATTATCTCTGCTTAGGGCTACTTCAACAGAGAACAAAGCATAGAATGTGCATGAAGAAATTATTGAATGTTTGATGTTTGAAGCAGCTAGCACAAACCGTGTTTGATTTCCAGTTCCAACAGCATTCATCCCTTGAGGGAAAATGAAATCAAACCTAAAAATTAAAAGTATTCCTGCAAGAAAATACTTCAACCAGAAGAACAAAACTTGGGGCAAAGTGGGAATGTTGTAAGGATCTTCTTGTCAAGTATCATCAAAATCCATTGGAAAAATATTTGCAGAGTTTCAGTAAACTTGGAGTTTTGTGCAAGCTCCCCAAATGCTTTCAAAAGAAAGTGTTCTTTCCTTGGCTGAGAATTGTTTCTAGTTAGGGCCACTTCAATGGGGAACAAATCATAGAGTGCACAGAACTAATTGAATGGGTGAAATTTCAAGCAGCTAGCACAAACCATGTTTGATTTCCAATTCCAACTGACATCTTGCCTATAGGGGAAAATGAAGAGAAACCTAAAAATTAAAAGTGTTGCTGCGAGCGAATGCTTCAATCTAGGAGTATGAAATTTGGGGGGCAAAATGAGACTGTTGTAAAGATCATTCCTGCCAAGAATCAACAAAATCTGG